TCTCTAAAATAAATAAATAAAAATTTAAAAACATACTTTTAAAAGTTTAAAATAAATAAAATAAAATAAAATAAAATAAATAAAATAATAAAATAAAATAAAATAGAAGAAGAATTTGGAACTTCCCAGAGCTGAAGAGCCCAATAGGAGCGGGAGAGAGACCAGGCAGCATACTACATGGATTGAGTGTGCCCTATATAATACAATCTCTCTCCAGGGGCTTCCTGAATTGTCAGTAAAGGCTACTAAATCCATAAAGGCCTCCACAGTTCCATTGGAATTGTGTTCCTGACACAAATCTCACGGGGAAACACACTCTCCTAGAAGACCCCTATTGCCTATAGAACAACCTCCACAGTCTCCATTGCCTTTCATAACCTATTCCATCTTTTCTGCTGTGACATTCAGGACTGTCCATCCAGATTGTCTATATACTTGCACACCTCATGCACTTCCTATGTCTTGGTTTGGGTTCCCATTCCCTGTCTTCTTGGCAAACTCCTGCATATCCTGTAAAGCCCAGCTTAAACATCATATCTCTTTGTCTTTCCATGACTCTCCCAGGAAGAATTAGTTGCTTCTGCATGTGTCTTTCTTAGCTCTTTATTTACTTAACTCTTTATGACACTTATTACATTTTAGGTATTTATGTATTGGCGGCCTCTGCTTGGCAGTGACTTGGGGCGGGGACTATGTCTTGATTTATCTTTGTGACCCCGTCTCCAATCTTCCACCTTTAAGCACAGGGACTGACATAGACTGTGTAAAATACGTGGCATTGAAAAGGCCAGATTGCCTCAGCTGGAACAATTGTAAAAACTTGCACATGAAAATAACGAGTGTGCTCACACTCGAAACTGCAGGCCCTGTGTCAGGAGTAGCCTGAGTTAGTTGGCCTGGGACCTGGGGTGACCAGGGTGGCTTGCTGGGGAGTTGAAAGATATAGAATGGAAAAGTGATTAAGTGTCGGACCATTGAGGGGGGTGCAGAACATGTACAAAATGATCCTTGGGGACACCTCTGCTTGGGAGTCTCTCTTGGAGATTGGGCAACAAATTGGCTGTGGGGGCTCAGAATAGTCCTTATAGGACATAATGAGAGGAAATGGCTCCCAGTATTAAACAGTGTTTGACTTTATGCAAACAATCCTTTAACTGCATGCAAATGATTCCCCTGGCATGCCCTGGGTTGTGTTCTCAAAATCTTAGCTGTCTTGCCTACTGTTGCAGATAAATGTTCAACAATGAGCTAGCTAATGATCAGCATTAGTATGAGAGTGTCTGACATTTTCCCTTTTACATGTTCAAAGCAAAGAGCTTTCTTATTTACTCCCATTAAGAAAATAGCATGCAATTTAGTGGACACAATATATTACTCATTTTTTAAAATTAAGTGGAAAGAAGATGGGATGGGTCTCAGCCCCTCTTCCTTTGTTGGAAACTTGGACTGGAAAGATCCTCAGGACAATACTTTCGCTCAAAACAAACCAAACAGTAAATTTTCCTTAAAGGCTGAGCATAGTTCCTCACCTATGACTCAGTGCCTATCTCGTTTACAATGACAGATTTTGTATCTCGAAATATGTTTTTTTTTTGGCCTGGAAATTGTCTTTTTGTTTCCTGGTGTTTTAAAAAGCCTCAACTGCCCTTAAGAATTGGAAGAAATATTGAGACACTGTCATAAATAAATAATTTTTCAAGTCAAAGGACATGTAGGACAAAGTTTGGTTAAACCAGTTTTGTGAGCCATAGGAATTCTTGTCACAAACAGCAGGAAGTTTACTAAGTGGCCTCTGCCCTCCCTCACCGGTGTGCTTCAGGCCCTGGGTGCGTTTCCCTCCCTCCTCCTGATTGGAAGCACCCTACTTTTGCCTTCACTTTTAGTAACTTTAAGGCTGTATAAAAATAACTATCATTCCCCCAGTTCCAGTTTTCATAAAATTTTATGTAGACAATTTTTATTTTCCTAGGAATCTCATGTCTATTTCTCTCCCCACGGTCACCTAGGTGACAAGACATTGCTCTTGGGTCTTATGTCCCCTGGGTTGGAAGAGGAGTGGGGGAGGGGGTTCTGAATTTACAGTAACCCTCTGAAGAGTGAATTGCCTCCCGGGGAACCGTGACACACGGGAGAGGCCGCAGGTGGAGCCCCTGGTAACGTCAGGAAGGCAGATTCCAGTGCTGCAAATACCCCGGAGGGGCTCGATTGCTTTCCTTGGCCAGATGGAAAGTAAAAGTTAAGACATTTCCTTGGCAAAAATTCAGATGTAAAGACCATTTAAAGTAAATAGATACTGTCAAGAATTGCCTGGGCATTTTCCTAAGCTACACACCACCACCACCACCACCATCAAACTTCCTATTTTATAACCCTCACTATTTTTGATGAATATAGTAAGACAGGCTCAGTATCAGTAGACATCAGGGGTTCCTAAGCTGCTATAGCACCATTCTGGACACACTGCTTGTATCTTTTGTGTGTGTGTGTATCTTCTGGCACCATTTCCAAAACATAATAGTTGCTTAAGAGATGTCTTTTAAATGTAACAGGGTGATGGGGATCCCAGCAGTGTTACTAGTCTCCAAGTTGACAGTGTTGA